TCTTTCACGGTGTCCTTCTTATCTCAGATTTATTGAAAAAAAAAAGTCGTCAGCGTCAACTTGCCTGAATCTAAAAGAATTACGTTCAATCGAAAAAATATAGATCAGCCTGGGAAGACTGGAAAGATTTATTAACCAAATCCGGAGTTGAATTTTGCAACCCAATTTCCATTATTGGGGGGGAGGGGGGTGAGTCCCATATCAATTCATGGTTCTCGAACATATGTTGAAATTGTGAGCGGTCCGTGTAATTCTAGATTAACAACTGATGATAATAACTTATTGAATAATGTAAATGAGATTCTTTCATAATTTAATTAATGAAATTTAATTTCGTAAATTGAAAAGTCTTATGAATATCTCAGAGAAGAATACTTGCAGCTGTATATACCTTAAATAACAGGTTGGCTAAATATAGAAGTGATATATATAGAAGAGTGCCTTCAAGCGTTTATAGAGCGGAACAATTATACTAGTATAATGCTTAATATTGATAATTTACGATTATATTTATGGAATGTGACTAGTATTAATAATAAATATGCGGAATTTAATTATTTCTTAAAAAAAACGTAAAGTGGACATTGCCTTGGTATCGGAAACCTGTCTAATTTCAATTATAAAAATTTTACTGGTTACATTATTAGAAGTGATCATCTCGGGATAGGCGGAATTATGATAATCATTAGGGATATTCTAAAGTTCAATCTGTTGCCTGTAATAAATATTCCGAGTTGCGAGATTACTGTCATTAAAGTATTTTATTTTGGATTTTATTTTGGGGACTGTTTACATTCCTCCCAAGACAAATTTTGATTTCAAGTTACTTGACAAGGTCTTCTCTAGATACCCTAGGGTGATGATTGAGGGAGATTTCAATGCTCTGATCACTTGAAACAATTTCTATAAGAACCAAAGAAGAATAAATATGCTTCATTATATTAACAAAAATCATTTATCTATTATCCATAGTACTTCGTATTCATATAAAGTTCTTAATAAAAGATCCATGAACATAATGTTTTCTTAATTAAAAATCGTCCATATAAATATAACTATTTCACAGTATATGAACTATTTTCCAATCATCTCCCAAATATTTTTGGAAGTGGAGACTACAAAAAATTCATCGGTTTCAAATCAATCGATTGGAAAAAATTTTATCAAATGACTGATAAATGGAATGAGAGTCGATTGCACACATTATCGATCGCGTCTGTGTCCGATAGAATCCGTGTCCGATTGAGAAATACTGCCGTGTCCGATAATATGCGGAATAATCGGAATTCCTAATAATTGGCTTATAAATATAAATATAAAACCTCTTCTTTATAACATACATTGATTCTTGTATATGAAAGCTCCAGTCCTCAGGAAAGCAGCTATAAATAGTCTACTACATATGTATTTGTAATAAAAAAGTTTTTGATGCCGAATCGGAGGATCTCGTTGAATTGAGTAATTTAATTTGACTAAGAAAAGAATTTCAGAAGAAAATATCAGCGTACGGGCCTTGACCTCTATAAGCATTTCGTAATTTGCTCAATAAACTTATCAATGATCACTTACAGGTTTTGCGAAACAAGAATTGGACTAAAATGCTCAGCAAGCTTCAAACCAAAGACAACTCGCTTTTACCTTTTATAATTTATAAGTTTCATACAACGTCTGTATGAGATAGCTTGGGACGAATGTCTTTATGACATTCCCCCTGATAAACCCACTAAGATTATTAATCTTTTTATATGCCATGTGTATCAATGAGTCTTTTTAAAAAAATTTTTTTGACCTTTCTGATAAAACTGATATAAAGGGGATTGTAAAAAACTTGTGATTAATTTTATCTTCATTATTGCCCGTTGTCTTATCCGTAGATGTGTTACCCTGGTCATTCCATTGTTTAAATTTTTTTGAATAAATATGAAGCATGTGTGGGCCAAATAGGTAGATGTTTGAAGACGCATAAATGAACATAAAAATTACGTAAATTCCCGGGTTTAAGTCGATAATCAAATGGATATCAATTTGATGATTTTTTTCCATTTGATTTGATATCGATTAGATGTTTTCTAATGACCTTTGAAAGACAATCGATATTTTATCAATTGATTTTAAATCAATCATAAATTAATAAGATATTCCATATATATTATATTAATTTCTAGTTGATATACATAATATACATAATATCTAATAGATATTTCTTTGCAGGTATTCAGTAGATATCTAATAGAAATCTATAAAGCGATACGCGTATCGAGACATTAAAAATTATTTGAAAATTGCCCTTTAGGAATATGTTCGGAAACATCACCCGTATTGTCTTATCCTTGTTGTTCACCCATATTATACGAGGATAAGACGATACACTGAGGCACTCGAGTGATGTTTCCGAATACAGCTTAGGTGAAAAACAAATGACTTTTTATAAAAAGATATATATTGATTTGAAATATCGATTTTAAAGATGATTTTTAACCGATATTCTGCTAAATTTTGAATAGAAATTATCTTTGAGGATATTTCAAACCAATATTTTTGTTAAAAAATTCTTCTTTTTTCATCTAAAAGGCAATTTCCAAACGATTTTTAACGTATCAATATTCGTACCGTCCCTAATATAAGTAGATATTTCTTTGTTAACGCATAGACGCGGAACAATAACAATTCAATCCATATTCATTAACGGGTCGATCAACGTCGAATCAATGCTGATCTCTGCATGATACTTTCGTCGTCTTATCGACATATCATCGATATCACTACAGATCGATATCGATATTACTATATATTATTTATTTGATACATAGAAGATATCATATAAGTATCCAATTAAGTACCAATTATCGGTGATTTAAGTTAAGTTAAGTTAAAATCTAGTAGATATCATATTCAAGATGTTTTACAAGAAGTTATTATTCAATCAAAAAAATGTTTGTAAATTTATTATTTATAAATATTTTATCAAAAAGATATAGTAAGATTTTAAGAATACAAACTTTTTTCTCTTTTCGTTTGTTTGTTACTTATATCAAATTTATCATTAATGGCAATAAATATTTTTATATTTTTGATACTTATTTATATGATAAACGTTATTTTAATTTTCTGTAAAGTTCTTTCTTCCTTGTTACAGAATTATGAGAATTACCGAATTACA